TGTGATACCGATGAGAACCCTAGAGAAACAACCTGCAATGTAAAACTAGATTTTTATGAGTGCTTACCGGTGCAACTCTGTCACAGTAAGGTGTTGTACGTAAGTTCAAGGGCAATGGTCAGAAATTAAAAAAAGAAAATCACAGAAATATGCAATATGTATAATATGCCATTTAGAAAAAAAGGCACAAAAAAAAAACCCCATGGTGTTAAATTTGTCCCCTAGATTTGCCACCGACAGTATAATTGATTTTCAGAGTCTTTATTTTATTTTATTTTATTTTATTTTATTTTGTTTTATTTTGTTTGATTTTATTTTAGATATTTCAAAATATTCAGCCTGGGCCTGAACATACATTATTATTATTATTATTATTATTATTATTATTATTATTATTATTATTATTATTTACTTATTTGTTGGATGCTTGGTTGGCTAACTTCCACAGCTATTTTAAGTGAAATTTTATTTTATTCAGGTGAAGTATTTTATATAAATGAATGTGTTTTTATATTGTTCTAAAAAAAATAATTTTAGGGGGCACATTTCCCACCTCAATAATATCTATAAAATTAATAAATAATAATGAGTACAACAATAAATTGCAATATAATATACTTATTTGCGTGTTTTTAGAGTCTTTTTTTTCTAACAATATAAAAACACATTAATTTGCATAATATACGTATTTATTTACTTACTTATTGAGGTGTGAAATTTGCCTCCTAGAATTGATTTTCAAAGTTTTTTTCTTTTTTTTTTCTGAACAATATGAAAACACATTCATATATATGGGTGTTGGGTGGTTAGTCTCTATGATATTCTGGATTCTATATGGCTCAGGTCCCTTTGTTATTGTAGGTCTCTGGGATTTTTGTGCCCATTTTAACAACGGTTTGGCAAAACCCATATAATTCCGATCATTTAGAAAAGTAACAGCACACCTCTCCTGTACTCTCCTTTCAAGCAGGGATTCTTCAAACTGATTGCTGTGTACTCTTCAACAAATGACCGTTTGTGTCCCTGAGCAATAGTTATAGTGATGCTTGCCTTAGCAAACACTGCTAATAATAAACACACACAAAAGTTGGCCAATTAAATTTAAGGAGTCCAGCAATTCAGTGTTCTCACTTGAGCAAATTAAGCTTTGATCTTTTTCCCTCTTTAAGCAATGCCAATTCCTGTGATTGCCCCATATTAAAGAGACATTCTTGACATTAATTACAAAAGAAAAAAAAGGAGATCCTCCAATTAGGATAATAAATTACACTGACGGCCTCCCAACAAATGCTGAGTTTGTCAAATCTGTTATTTTACGAGACCGGAATGGCTTTTAAACGTGTGCGCTCTCCTTCGCAGGTGACAATGGTGTCAAGTGGCTCTCAAATCAAGTGTGCTCATTTATCAATTGAAGGACATGTTGATCATTATTACTGTGCCTTAATTCCCCTGCATTAACAAACAAATCTTCAAGGATAAACGTAGAATTAATCAAAAGAGATTTTTTTTTTCCTATTCGGTTGTGTAGCTCGCTTAAAGACGTGTTAAAAGGAATAGTTCACTAAATAATTAAATGATTTATTTTTCCAACCACATTCGTCAAGCTCCAAAAAGGTACATACTAAAAAAAAGAAAAGAAAAAAAATGACAGCAAACATGACGCAACACCTCAATTTGAACATGGATGCGAGTGAAGATTTTCAGTGAATAATGGCTTAAATTTCATTAAATGCCTTCAATTTACAGTTAAGTAACTCATAATAATGTTAGAGTTGATATATTTGAACAGTTGTAACTTTTCAAAATATCAAAAGCAAGTGAGTCCAGGTAAAAACAAGGTAAAATGAGAGAGAGATTAGAGCATTGTGTGTCAGACAAATGCAGTGCGCATTTCAAAGTCTGGAGGAGATGGTGTGTTTGTGCTGCATGTGAGCGGGAGGGAGGGTTCGGGTAGCACCCTGGGATTCGCCGATGACAGGATGCAGGAATCGGAATATGGTCCCTCCCGTTGTCTGAGAATCCAGTGAGGGTGTTTGCCATATGCTCGTCGTTTCCCAGGGAAAAGGAATCAGAGGATAAAAGCGACGGCAACTATGAGCCCTTTCAATATGTTCAAAGCCCATATGAATATTACTGTACACAAGTCTTCTACAGAGGCCAATTTTAGATCAAAGCCTGAACAGAGAAGAAAGTTACAGATGACAAGAGGAGAGAGAAATTTGAGATAAGTTGTGCTGTGTTGTGCTGTTTGCTTGAACTAATGGAATTAGTCTTACAAAATAAAGACAATGAAAGAAAATCACTCCCTTGAAAAAGGAAAAACAGGATCTCAGTCTTTATAAAGCTATATATGACTATAAGGCGAAGATATTAAGATATCATCAACATTAAAGGGAAAGTTCACCCAAAAATGAAAATTCTGTCATTAATTACTCACCCTCATGTCGATCCAAACCCATAAGACCTTCGTTCATCTTCAGAACACAAATTAAGATATTTTTGATGAAATCCGAGAGCTCTCTGATCCTCTATAGACAGCAATGCAACTACCACGTTTAAGGCCCAGAAACATAGTAAGGACATCGATAAAATAGTCCATGTGACATCAAGGGTTCAACCGTAATTTTATGATGCTATTGTTAAAAGGAATAGTTCACTAAATAATTAAATGATTTATTTTTCCAACCACATTCGTCAAGCTCCAAAAAGGTACATACTAAAAAAAAGAAAAGAAAAAAAATGACAGCAAACATGACGCAACACCTCAATTTGAACATGGATGCGAGTGAAGATTTTCAGTGAATAATGGCTTAAATTTCATTAAATGCCTTCAATTTACAGTTAAGTAACTCATAATAATGTTAGAGTTGATATATTTGAACAGTTGTAACTTTTCAAAATATCAAAAGCAAGTGAGTCCAGGTAAAAACAAGGTAAAATGAGAGAGAGATTAGAGCATTGTGTGTCAGACAAATGCAGTGCGCATTTCAAAGTCTGGAGGAGATGGTGTGTTTGTGCTGCATGTGAGCGGGAGGGAGGGTTCGGGTAGCACCCTGGGATTCGCCGATGACAGGATGCAGGAATCGGAATATGGTCCCTCCCGTTGTCTGAGAATCCAGTGAGGGTGTTTGCCATATGCTCGTCGTTTCCCAGGGAAAAGGAATCAGAGGATAAAAGCGACGGCAACTATGAGCCCTTTCAATATGTTCAAAGCCCATATGAAAATGACTGTACACAAGTCTTCTACAGAGGCCAATTTTAGATCAAAGCCTGAACAGAGAAGAAAGTTACAGATGACAAGAGGAGAGAGAAATTTGAGATAAGTTGTGCTGTGTTGTGCTGTTTGCTTGAACTAATGGAATTAGTCTTACAAAATAAAGACAATGAAAGAAAATCACTCCCTTGAAAAAGGAAAAACAGGATCTCAGTCTTTATAAAGCTATATATGACTATAAGGCGAAGATATTAAGATATCATCAACATTAAAGGGAAAGTTCACCCAAAAATGAAAATTCTGTCATTAATTACTCACCCTCATGTCGATCCAAACCCATAAGACCTTCGTTCATCTTCAGAACACAAATTAAGATATTTTTGATGAAATCCGAGAGCTCTCTGATCCTCTATAGACAGCAATGCAACTACCACGTTTAAGGCCCAGAAACATAGTAAGGACATCGATAAAATAGTCCATGTGACATCAAGGGTTCAACCGTAATTTTATGATGCTATGACAACAATAACTTTATTCAATAATTTATTCTCTTCCGTGTCAGTCTTCATTGTGTGTTTACGAGAGTACCACAAAACATGCATGTGCATTCAGCTGCTTGTAAACAAGGCGCAGCGCATCCAGGTTCTGCGTCAGCAGCGTCGCACGCACAAAAAGTATTCTCTCATGGACGATTGCTAAAAGTCTGCACTTCATTCGAGTATCAATTTAGGGGGAATAATACCATAGGATATAAAAGTAGAAATAAATAAAGCAATTATTGACATACAGTACAACTTTGCTGTCTTGGAAGAATTATTTGAGCAGAATAAGTAATAGTTAGCCAAGAGTAAACACACTAAAAATCTAAATTAACTAGTTCAGTTTAAGTCAAAAATACTATTTAACAACACTAAAACAACCTATATGTATTAATTTATACCAACAAAACTAATTGTATGGGTTAAATCTGGTAGAAATAAGGTAACACTTTCTATGAAGCCCATATAAGGGCATTCTTAAGGCATTATAATGAATACATAATGCATTATAAAAAAACCTTATAATATGTTGTATCATCTTATGAATATTCATAAGAACAGTTTTAATATATTATAATATTTACTTATTTGTGGT